GTGCCGCCTTGATGTACAGTGCCCTTAGCATTTGCCTACACTGCCTATATGTCACAGGCCGACCCTGTGTCAAACCATGTGATTTTTGATTATTTATATATATCGTATCGGTTCGATATGTAAAACTGAGCTGATATTAACGTCCGATATTGATTTCCCACTTTTTAGCTTTAGTTTCTGTTTTGGGAGGGGAGATGGTTGGTTGAGCAGCATCTGTTTGATCATGATAGTGATACTGATGCTGTGTAGCCAGGAATAACTGAAGTTAGAAGCCATGTCAGAGGTCTGCTTGTTTATTTACGGTATCAAAAAAAGACCCAAGTGGGTTTGTGCGTATATGCATAATATTATATGTTTGTGTAACCCCCAATTTACATTGCTTGCGTTCCGTCTCCGCTCCGGTCTGACCTCCGCAGCAAATACGCGCCCATTCTAATCAATGAGAGTGTTAACACTGGCTGCGCACGTGGCGGTGAGCGGACGGCGAGCCGTCAAAATTAGAACAGATCCTATTTTTGCCGGACGACGGAGCAGCGCCGGAGTCAATTTTTAAAGATTACGTCGCACCAACAGGAAAAGACACGAGCACAACATCCGTATTTTCAAAATAAGACACTATTTGGTTGAATAATTTGTTGGAATAATGTCGAAATTGCGGCTATATTGATAAATACACGGATATATTTCCACATAAATGCTGTCAGAATGTATCGTACTGTTTGGGAAGCAGATGGAAACATGTAGCATGAAGCATATGTGTACACACACGATACACATGGATTTTATTTTGAAATCAGAAGTTTCAGAAAGCCGACAGCGAGACAATTTCAACTTATATACCAAAAGCCTTTATATTGTTGTTTATATCTGTGTTTGGAGTTTGTCTTTGACAGAATTAATTATTTTTTGCTGTGACTTCCACGTTTATTACTGAATTTATCGCGTGATCTCCTCTGTCGGACCGGAGCGGAGCGGAGGTGGTGTAAACTGGACTTGAAACGCACAGCTGCGTCCTGCGCAGCGGAGCGGAGCGCAGCAGAGACGCATGCAGTATAAATCCGGGGTCATATGGGTAAATATTGGTTATTGGCTATAGCAGCAATAATTATATCGCATATCGATATCGGCTAAAATTTTCATATTGGTGCATCCCTACTTTACGTAAGCCTGAACTGTGTAAGTCTAATCTACATTCTATCTACATTCTATCTACCGTTGTTCTAAATGGATGGATGGATGGATGGATGGATGGATGGATGGATGGATGGATGGATGGATGGATGGATATATTTGTGAAATGTGCCCCAGCTCTGGCTGAAGTGGAGCTTGTAATTCCATTCTTCAGTTTCCTAATTTAAGTGCAAGGAGACAGATTAACACAAATTCATCAGCTTGATGTGTGATGGCACAATGTAGATTCTCTGTTAAAAAGAAAAAAATTGTATAGGTCTTCTGGACGGGTTCTTCTCTAATGAAACGTTTCGTCTCTCCTCCAAGAGACTTCTTCAGTCTGAGAGTTTCAGGCAAAATTCAGGCTTTTAAGCCCTGCCTCCATGTGACTGATACTCACATCACATGGCTATCGTTGACACCTAATTAACACTTATTGTTTACAGGGGGTGGAGTGACACTGGCAATAGCCGCGCTGTAGGAGGGGGACAACTGAAAACGGAGGCCTCCACCTCTGTTTAATGATGGAYGGTCTTTCTTCACAAAAATGKCTTCTTTTACTCCTCTCTCAAACCAACGTTCCTCTCTATSAAGRATGAGAACATCCTCATCTCTGAAAGAGTGACCGCTGGCCTGTAAATGAGTGAAAACTGCAGAGTTCTGGCCATTAGATGTAGCTCGTCTGTGTTGGAACATAGAGAAGAACCCGTCCAGAAGACCTATACAATTTTTTTCTTTTTGATTTTACCTGGATTACTGAGATGCATCAGGACATTCTCTGTTAAACTTGTTCGAACTGAATATTAATGAAACTCAATGAAAATTAAATGCAATTGAATTTGTCATTATTTTTAAAATGGACAAGTAGTAAATGTCAATTTTCTACACATTAGATTTTCCAAGTAAGAAAATGTAAACTGTGCAAACTGTGGGTCAGACAGTGTCCACATCTGATGGATAGCTTCCATAGGAAATGCATTAGCAAAACCTGTAATGAAAAGTTCCTAGACTGCTTATAAATTTATCTCTTGGGAGAATGTTTATTTTTACATATCACAACATTGGCAATTTTCTCAGCTTTAATTAAATACATATTTTACAGAAACTGGAAAGGAAGTAAGAGTACTACAAATATTTTTGTGACAGATTGATGTGCATCCCTCTTTGGAACTGTCTGGTTTTGTTGAATGACTCGGTGCATAGTAACGGTGCCTATAGAGCCGTGTCACTAGCTTTAGCAGCTAATAGGCAATGTTCAACCCAGTAATACACATCAGTGTTTATCAGTTTGTGTGTTTTTTGTATATTTAAATCAATGTGTGTGTGTCTTTTACCTGCTGTGTAGAAGAAGTGGACATGCAGCGGTGCAGACTCAGAGTTTTCTGATCACACAAAGCCTTACAGGAGGAGCCTGATATTATCCCCCGTCTGAAGTGATTGCACTGTCAAACAAACAGGAAACAGGAAGTGACCTCAGTTATGTCTTCTTGCAAAGATGAATATCACGTTTATGGGTTTTAATCACCTAGACATAATTATAAAAGCAGAGCCATCATTTTTTAAATTAGATAAACACCCCAGAAAATTATCTGACTTTTACCAGATTCTAAAAAGGTTCAAATTGAACCTAAAGTGAACAAAAGCACACAATGGATTCCACCATGTCGTTGTTTATTAAATAAAAAACAGGCAAAACAGAAAAGCTGTGAGTGAAAAAGTTATTTCCTGTTGTTTACATGGGTTATAAGAGGTTCAGAATCATCAAGAAGCTACTGATCAGATCTGGAGCATACAAGTGTGTGGGCTAACACGATGTCAGGACGAAGAGACATCAGCAATGACTTTAGAGAAGCAACCATTGCTGCCCATCAACCTGACAAGTAATGCAGAGCAGCAGGACCCCTCATTCCCAACCATACGATGGAAGCCATTCAACATAAAACTGACAGTTAGCTAAGAATAACAACAAAAAAAGTGTTGTTTTATTCTGATACTAAAATGTCAAACTCTACAAAGTTTACTGCTTTTTCTATAATGTGCTTGTGTTTGTTTCTGTTAGAAAAATTCTCATGAACCACTGTATTATGGATTCATTGGTTTTATATTTATGGCTGCCACAGAAAACAGGTAACAGGTAACCTACGTTATCACAGAAATAGCTATAACCCTGGAAATCATTCAGATATTGAGCTAGAAATTGACATGGCAGCAGCAAAAAGTCATTTTTAAAACAAATTCAGAGTGTTATCTCAAATTCAGAGTGTTATCTATTGCACAAAATCTTTGTTTTAAGTCTTTGGCATTAACATTTACCTGTACTGAATGTTTGATCTTAACACAGATCAGTTGGGGTTTTGTGTGAAGTATGTACAGTGTCAAAAAGAAAAAAATTGTGTAGGTCTTCTGGACGGGTTCTTCTCTAATGAAACATTTCGTTTCTCCTCCAAGAGACTTCTTCAGTCTGAGAGTTTCAGGCAAAATTCAGGCTTTTAAGCCCTGCCTCCATGTGACTGATACTCACATCACATGGCTATTGTTGACATCTAATTAACACTTATTGTTAACAGGGGGTGGAGTGATACTGGCAATGGCTGCGCAGTTGGAGGGGGACAACTGAAAACGGAGGCCTCCACCTCTGTTTAATGATGGACGGTCTTTCTTCACAAAAATGGCTTCTTTTACTCCTCTCTCAAACCAACGTTCCTCTCTATCAAGAATGAGAACATCCTCATCTCTGAAAGAGTGACCGCTGGCCTGTAAATGAGTGAAAACTGCAGAGTTCTGGCCATTAGATGTAGCTCGTCTGTGTTGGGACATTCTTTTGAACAGTGGCTGCTTTGTTTCCCCGATGTATAACTGGTTGCAGTCCTCCTGGCATTTAACAGCATATACAACATTGCTCTGTTTGTGCCGGGGCACCGGATCTTTGGGGTGAAACAGCCTTTGCCGTAATGTGTTTTGTGGTTTGAAAGCCACTGGGACATCATGTTTAGAAAATAAACGTCTCAGTTTCTCCGAAACACCCGCAACATACAGAATAATGGGTCTGGGTTTGGGGTCTTCATTTTCACCTGAAGGTTGCATGGAATCCTGTCTGTGTTTCCTGTCTGCTTTCAGGAAAGCCCAGTCAGGATAACCACACTGCTCCAGGGCCTGTCGTGTGTGTGATTTCTCTTTCTCCCTGGCTCCTGGGTTTGTAGGGACACTGTCTGCTCTGTGGTACAGAGTCCTGATCACTCCTAAATTGTGTTCCAGTGGGTGGTGGGAGTCAAAACGCAAATATTGGTCTGTGTGGGTGGGCTTACGATATACGCCAGTTTCCAACCATCCTCCATCTGAAACTGAGACATCGCAATCCAGGAACGCCAACCTGCCATTTTTTACATCCTCTTTCTCCCTGGCTCCTGGGTTTGTAGGGACACTGTCTGCTCTGTGGTACAGAGTCCTGATCACTCCTAAATTGTGTTCCAGTGGGTGGTGGGAGTCAAAACGCAAATATTGGTCTGTGTGGGTGGGCTTACGATATACGCCAGTTTCCAACCATCCTCCATCTGAAACTGAGACATCGCAATCCAGGAACGCCAACCTGCCATTTTTTACATCCTCTCATGTGAACTTAATATATTCATCCACAGAGTTGATGTGATCAGTGAAATGTTGGACTTCCTGGGCTTTAATTTTAACCCAGGTGTCGTCAACATATCTGAACCAATGGCTCGGTGGCACCCCTGAAAACTCTCAGACTAAAGAAGTCTCTTGGAGAAGAGATGAAACGTTTCATTAGAGAAGAACCTGTCCAGAAGACCTACACAATTTTTTTCTTTTTGATTTTTACCTGGATTACTGAGATGCATCAGGACATATGTACAGTGTCTTTTGTTGAATTGTTCATGTTAGACAACTTACTATGATCATGTGACAAACATGTCCACGACAGAGTTCGGCGTATGAAGCGTACTGCATGTAGATGATCCAGCTGATGATGAGGATGCCCAGCCAGACAAGAAGAAGGTACTTCACTTTGATGGCTGGGAGACGACTCTGATGACAGAAAGAGGAAAAAGGAGGTCGTCAGGATGAAATGAACAAATCTGATTATCAGCATACAGAGAGACTTTCAGATCCTTCATGTAAAACAACAAATATAAGAAATTCTGTTTTCACACTTTGTTCTTCATGTTTTTAGCCTAGCTGCAGTACAACTGACCTTGTGACTGATACATTTTGTAAAGTACAGGATTTTATACCTAATGTACAGGATATACTACGGTATCTAATGTCCATCTATCATCTTCCTCTTGTTCCAGAGTCAGGTCTCAGGGCAGCAGCTTGATCCAGCTCTGGGAGGACTTCAAGGTGATCCCAGACCAGCAAAGAGATATAGTTTCTCATATTCTGGGTCTTCCCTGGGGTCTCTCAGCTGGATATACCTGAACCACCTCTTTAGGATGGCGTTCAGGGTTATTCTTACCAGGGGTTATCTTTATCCTCTGGATGTGGAGAAGCAGCGGCTCTACTCGGAGTCTCTCCCTGATAACTGAACTTGTCACCCTATCGCTAAGGGAGAGTCCAGATACCCTGCAGAGAAAACTCTTTTGGACCTCCTGTATATGAGATCCTGTTCTTTCAGTCACTACCCAAGGTTTAGGGCCATGCGTGAGGGTAGACCGACCAGTAAATAGAGGTCTTCTTACAGTTCATTTCACTCTTCACCAAAACAGACCAGTACAGAATCTGCAATACTGCGGAAGCTGCACCGATCCATCTTCCAGTCTCACGCTCCATTCTTCCCTCAATCCTGAACAAAACCCAAAGACACTTGAAGCAGAACCTCACCCCCAACCAGGAGAGCTCAATCCACCCTTTTCTGACTGAGGATTTGGAGCACCAGCTTTAGAGGTGCTGATCCTCATCCCAGTTATGAACCACTACCGTAAGAGCTGAAGATCACGGCACAATGACATCAACAGAACCGCATCATCTGCAATTAGCAGAGATGGAATCCTGAGGCGGCCTCCCTCCGCCGCCTGGCTGCACTGAGAAATTCTGTCCATGGAAGTTATGAACAGTCTGTGACAACAGGCAGTCCTGGCTGTGTCTCACCCTGATGGGGTCCAATTAACAGCCGGCAATGCGAACCAAACTGTCACACCGCTTGTTTGGAGACTGAATAACAACGGATCCACAATCCCATACTCACAGTGAACCACAAGGAACACAGTCCAGTGTTCACGCAGCGGCTCTGCCCCCGATGTCTATGTGATGTTTCAAAGGCATGTCAACCAAGACAGCCCCACAACATCCGGAGCCTTGTGGAGCTTAGAGCAGGTCTTGACCAGCACTGGAGCCCCGCTGTCACAGAACATTTAAAACCTCAGCCCTGGTTATGGAGGGACCCCCAAGTCCCCACAGCTTCCTCCATTGAAGACATGCTGGTGCCATTAAGAATGTCCAGAAGACTTTCCACCTCCCCACTCTTTCAGGGATGAAGATGTTCTCATCCTTGATAGAGAGGAACGCTGGTTTGAGAGAGGAGTAAAGGAAGCCATCTTTGTGAAGAAAAAACGTCCACCATTAAACAGAGGTGGAGGCCTCCGTTTTCAGTTGTCCTCCTCCTACAACGCTGTCAGTGCAAGTATGACTCAGCCCCCTGTGAGCAAAAGGTGTGAATCAGGGCCCCAATGATACCAACACAAAGAGGGAGGGAGGAACAAAAACAAGGGGATGTTAAAAAACCCCGCTTGCATTCACTACATTCACATAACACCACACAGTTCATGTGATGGGGCACATGACCCTCTATGAACAATAGAGCTAATCAAGCCTATTGTTAGGCGATGGCCCTATTTTGCATTTGACTGACCTATTTGTCCATGTGGAGGCAGTGCTTATAAGGCTGAGTTTCACCTGAAACTCATCAGACTGAAGAAGTCTATTGGAGGAGAGACGGAACGTTTCACTAAAGAAGAACCCATCCAGAGGACCTACTGATTTTTTCTTTTTGATGGTTGAGGTACAGCACCCCAACTCTGCACAGTAAAGGGATGCTTTCCTTGCCTCAGCCTGTCTGTTGCTTGTTAAGGCCCAGAATAGATAAAAACCTCACCTGTAAAGCAGGAACAAAACATTTATGGACAGTTTAATTCTTTCCTCAATTCATAGAGAAGCATTCCTTTTTCATTTTTTTCAAAACGATAGATTTGATTCAGTTTATATTTGGATATTTTTCTACATGGAAGAGAAAAGTGTGCAATATTTAATCATCTAGAAAAACTGTGAAATGTGACAAAAAGCCTAAAAACAAGAATGAAACACTATGTGTAGGGCCTATACTGTTTGAACATTTTATTGCTGCAGCTGCCAGTATTAATCTGAACAGCTGGACTCGTTTCCTCCAGAACCCCACAGAAACAGAACCAGGGTATCTACAAACAGAACCAACCGGCACCGTTCTTTCCTACCTGCAGGCCTTTAGACAGAGGCCAGAAGAGGACCAGATGGAGCAGTCTCCTCACGGACCGGGCCATGATTCAGAACTAGAGCGACGATCCGCAGATCTTCATCACGTCCTCACAGCATCCGTCAGCCTAACCATCATCATCATCATCATCATCATCATCATCATCATCATCATCATCATCATCATCATCATCGTCCACCAAAACACGATGGATCACCTGCTCCCTTTATAATAAAGAGGAAAACGGTCCGGTTAATTATCCCTTTTACCCAAAATACGTTAAAAATGCAGAATGCACGGTTCTGCTTCGAAAGTTCCGGTCCAAATAAAGACCCATGTCCCGACGATCCGACACAACGGGGACAGATGAGAACGACGCGCACAGAACCATCACAGGCTCCAGAACCAGAACCCCCGTTTAACCTGCGCACGGTTAAAGGAACAGACGCAGTTTGTGTCCGCCGACAGAAAAAAAAAAAAAAAAAAAAAACACAGCAGGTGGCGATACCGCTCCTACAGAACCGAACCTCCGACTGGACCTGCAGTACATCCAGAAACAGGAAATCGGTAATAAAAACTATATAAAATGTGCTCGGAGCTGTAAAAAATAATTTCAAATAATTTAATTTAAAAAAGACTCTTCGGATATTTGAAGTGGGGGTTCTGAGGGTACATCATAAAGCTAAATAAAACAACTAGAACACGCATTGGTCACGTGACCGTGTCACTCACTGTTGCATTGCTGTATTTTGGTACATTTTTGGTAGATAACGGAAACTAGCTATAAGTAACTGTAAAAATGTATATAATATAATATAATATAATATAATATAATATA